CTGTCTGGTTAAAAGGATTGCTCGAAGAAATCACTGGCCAAAGCATGGAACCCATAACAATTCACGTGGATAACAAGGCTGCAATCATGTTAATGAAGAATCCAGTGTTCCATGGGAGAAGTAAGCATATTGACACTCGATATCATTTCATTCGTGAATGTGTCGAGAAAGAGCTAGTAAGGATTGAGCATGTAAGTGGCGACGAGCAGAAAGCTGATGTCTTGACAAAAGCATTACCGAGGGTCAAGTTTATCGAAATGAGGCAACTGATGGGAATTGAAGATTTGGCAGGAATGAAGACTGGAATCAAGGGGGTGAATGTTGGTTAATTCCAGTCCAGAATTAAGTTTAAATTTATAAATAAAAAAAGAGACAGGCAATTAGGCAGTTAGGCAGTTACTAGTTACAGTTTTATGACAGTTTCCAACAGATGTGTTGGTTAGAAACTGTTGTGTCTATTTGTAATGGTTGTGTTGTTTAGTCCTCTATTTATATGTATGGATACATTGTTCTGGATAGCAGTTCCACAATAATAAAATACTCTGATTTTCTCTCAATCTCTAGATCTATCTTTCTGTCATTATTTCTGTCAAAGTTTCTCTGTGCTGGTTTATTGATTTATTGTTGATAAGTACTCGCTCCATCCCTGAGTATTTGTCCACTTTTGTTTTCTTTTTAGTCAAAATTTGTAAACTTTGACTTAAAATTAAATAAAAATGATAATGGATATTGATTTAAAAATAGTTTTATTAGATTTATTATTTTGTCTAATTAATTTACAATATATATTTTATTTAATTAATTAAGGTCTAAAGTTGAAAATATTTGATTGAAAAAGTCAAATTAATTTACAATATATAAAATTTTCAATTTTATATATTGGTTACTTTGATAACATTATTAACACTAATTAATGGGTTAAATATTTTACTCTCTCATATGATTTATAATGCAAATTAAATTGGATAAAGAAAAGAAAATCCATTCAATTCGTGATAGAGGAAGAGGAATTTTGATGACAAAGGAGGATTTAATCAAGAATTTGGGAACCATTTCCAAATCTGGCACTTCAGGTATCTGTTTTGCAAATCTCAAATATGAAAAAGCAGTTCACTGCTAGCTACATACTTTATCCTCTTCTCTGTTATTGGATAGAATTAGTTATATGGTTGTTACTTTGTTGTTGTGTACAGCAATATTTGTTGAGAAAATGCAGAAAAGTGGAGACCTTTACCTTATCGGACAATTTGGTGTTGGGTTCTACTCTGTCTATCTCGTGGCTGACTATGTAGAAGTTATTAGCAAACACAATGATGATAAGCAGTAAGCTCTACCACGATGTCCATTGAATTGAATGTGTGAATCTGTGCTCTTTTGTGACCTTAACAATTTTCCTTCCCCCCCCCCAATTGTTTTTCTTTCTCCATTTTCTTCCCCATTTTATTTCTTTTCGAGCCTCCTAACTGATCATCAAGGTTTCTAATTTCTCATAATATTATGTGAGTAATTGCTCCGAAATCTCTGCCTTCAGATATGTTTGGGAATTAAAGGCTGATGGAGCCTTTGCAATTTCATAGGATGAGTGGAATGAGCCAC